CACCAAGCGCTCCTCCTTTTGCGACGGTGAGGTGTGCCACACAATTCGTGTTTACTCAGCTTCTGCGCTTCCTGCAGTGTGGCCGCACATCCTCCGCCAACGGCATATATCCACTGGGGGGCGTGTGATACGGTGTGTGATCATCTCATCAAACCTAGCAGATTGGCCTCACGTTCTCCTTGAGTGATGGGTTTGCGAACCCCTGGACGGAAACCGTTAGCTCGATCTGGGCTGTTGGGGCAGCCCTGCCGGACTCATTTGTGGGCACGCTGCTCCTTGACGTCGACGCCCTTCGTGACAAGTTTTTGCCTGGCGACAAGACCGGCGGGTGCATCGTTCAAGGCGGGTGCTTTAAGTATGCGTTACCACTTCAAGAGCCAGGAATTTGCCAGGATTGACTGATTCGCCAGCAGATCATTGAGAGCCAGGGCTCCTTGATGGGAACTTTGCCATTATAGTCCACGATTCTTAGATCTTTCCATTGTAGTCCACGATTCCTTAGATTTTGCCATTATAGTCCATGTTCCTTAGATCTTTCCATTATAGTCCGTGTTTCCTTAGATCTTTCCATTTTAGTCCGTGATTCCTTAGATTAGACAAGTTTAGGTCCCAAGTTTGGGACCCAAGTTGGGACCCAAGTTTGGGACCGAAGTTTGGGTCCCAAGTTTGGGACCCAAGTTTGGGACCCAAGTTTGGGACCCAAGTTTGGGACCCAAACGTTTGTGACGGACTATAATGGCAAAATCTAACAAAACACGGACTATACTGGCAATTGACTCCTCCTTGATGACCGTGTCTGTCGGAGGCCCGTACAGTACATGGTGTTAGAACCCGCTATAAATGTGTTGCTCAGGCCGGCGTGAATTATGCTTCCCGTTTCACGCTCAATCCACTAGTTTCCAATGTTTTTTGGGCAATTCATTCCTCCCACAGATTCGATTGTGTCACCCAGCTCGACGAAAACGGAAACATAGACTCCTGTGCAAGGGGCCAGCCAGTATTGAGCACGGGCGCGTGCTACTTGTTGTGGGGCATCGAGTTTGGTGCCCTCGCATTGCAGCTTGCATTCTTCCCAGAGGCGTTCCCCGTCATTTGGAGCTGGCTGTTCAGCTCTACTCTGCACGCGAGGACGTTCGGCTACCAGCAAGGGTTGAGCAACTTCCAGCACATGCTTAACCAGCTCACGGAGCGCAGCATGGCCTACCACCTGCACATGGGCACGCACACGGGGCTGACAGTCGACGAGGCGCAGAGGATGTATTCCTTCTTCTTGTACCACCTGGTGGTAGGGGGGGACGAGGCGTCTCCGGCGCGGAAGTCGGTTTGTTCAAGCCGCGAGGAAGCGCTTTCTATTGAGCGAGTCGTTGAGAGCTTCTGGAAGAGCTTTGTGACCACCGAGCGGTCGTACCTGTCACGCCCGCAGGCGGACATGTGCCATACACTGAAGGCGCTCACCCAGTGGCTGGCCTCGTCTTCTCTTCCTACGCTGCCGCGTTGTGAAGCTGTCGTGCACTCCTTCGACAACCGAAAGTCTGATCAACATCCGCGCGCGCTGCTCAGCTTGGTCCTCCACCAGCAGCAACAACTCACTTTGCTTGGCCCGCTTCTCTTGGACGTCTTCGACTTCGCGCACCTCGTTCACACACACCTTCACAAAAAGCTACCGTTGACATACCGAGACCAGCACGAGGAGAAGCTGACCGCGTACAGAACCGTCCTCGACCTCTTCGCGGAGCACGCGCCGGAGCTAGCCCCGACAGTTGCCGAAAAGCTCCTGGTAATCAAAAGGCAGTGGAATGCCTTCCGGACGAACGTCGGCCCCATCGACTTTGAGTGCCAGGAGGGCGGCATCAACATCATGATGGACGCGGGTCTGCAAGCGATGGCCATCGAGAACACCCTCGACTTCTGGGTTTCGCATCTGCCAGGTGCGGGGGATACCGAGCACAAAAATCTCATCGCCGCCGCGTTGCTGTCCCTTACAGGCAAGTACAATACCTCACAAGAAGTCGTGAGGAAACACAGCCTCATTTCGGATGTGCATGACATTCATCCATCCGTGCTTCTGACGGCCAAGCGGGACCTCATCCTCGGCGAGTGCCCGGACATCGGGGAAATTTGCCGCAGCTACGTTGTCAGCGAAAGCGAAACAGATTGGGACAGCGTTGAAGAGGAGCTCACCTCGAAGTTTAGTTCCCTGCTTCCCAAGCTGACGCCTCCCCGCCTCCCGGTATGCTTTCGCTTCCGAGTACATTTGCGCCGCCGGTAGAGACCGGCGCCCAGCGAGACTAGAGGCAGCAGTTACTGGGGTCGAATACAGGAGGACCTTGAATAGAAGAGGTACATTGAATACAAGAGGCATTTTGGAAATCTGGAAAAAAGTTGGATTTTTTTCTTGGTCCGCACAGTGTGGCTCCTGCGCCAGCCGCGCCAGGCCGCGCCAGAAAACCCTGTTTTCTGGCGCGTTTGGCGCGTTTGGCGCGATTGGCGCGCCCTTAGTGTTTTCACCAGGAATTGACAACCTTTTCATTTTGGGTTCATCATTCGTCCATTTTCTCTGCGATCCCGGCGTGCGTTCCGACAAATTTTTTCTTCGATGAGAAGATCGATGACGAAATCTTCCAGAGAACCTGTTCTCAGAAGGTGTCAACCTATTCTGGTGCCTTCCCACACCCCTGTGTCCTTCCAGAGCCACTGAAAAACAAGCTTTTTCCAGGGGATCGATCCCTGCAAGCAGCGTTTTTGGACCGGTTTGGACGTGTTCGCCACGGTATTCCATGGTACCCTGCGGCAATGCAAGGCCGACGAACCACAGGGATCCACTTACGGTTCCGGGTCTATTTGGCACCGTTCTCTTCATCCGAGAAAAAATCGAGCAAAAAGTCGTCGGGAAAAAGTTGCTACGTGGACCAGCGGGAAATTGTCACCTACCTGGGGACGATTCCTGTCCTTCCCGTGGTAAACCTGCCGCCCGGTGCTCTGCATCTTATGAGGAGTCACGAACCACACACATACGTATGGGTCCCCGAGTCTATTTTGAACCGTTCTCTTCATCGGAGCTGAGGGCGAGCAAAACGTCGTTGAAAAAGATCTGCTACGTGGACCAGCGGGAAAATATCACCACAACTTTTGCCAGACCCAGATTCCACTGTTTGTGCATTGGAAAATGGCCCGGGAAAATTATCAATTCCCCCGAGGCACTCTTTTTGCCCCGTGCATGTGACGAGGGAGCCTAAATTTCCTTGGGGCTACAGGGTGCGCCAAACGCGCCGCGCCGCGCCAAACGCGCCAGGCTTGGCGCGCTTGGCGCGCGCCACGCCACGCCAAACGCGCCAGGCCCCAGGAGCCACACTGGTCCGCATAACAGACCTTTTTCGACGGTTTTCTGATCGCGATGAGCTCCGATGAAGAAACCGTGAAAAATAGACCCGGGGACCACAAATTACGTGCGTCTTCACCAGAACTTCGCTTTGCCCGAACTTTGCTTTCGCCCGAAGCAAAGCAAAGTTCGGGCGAAGCTAAGTCAAAGCAAAGTTCGGGTGAAGCTAAGTCAGCAGCAAAGTTCGGGGTGAAGCTAAGTCAGCAGCAAAGTTCGGGGTGAAGCTAAGTCAGCAGCAAAGTTCGGGGTGAAGCTAAGTTCTGGGGAGGCCAAGTTCTGGTGAAAGCAAAGTTCGAAAGCTTGCTCGCCCGAACTTTGCTTTGACTTAGCTTCGCCCGAACTTTACTTGCGCGGGTAACGTGGTCGACTCTTGCGCGGGCGCGGGTAACGTGGTCGACTCTTGCGCGGGTAACGTGGTCGACTCTTGCGCGGGTAACGTGGTCGACTCTTGCGCGGGCGCGGGTAACGTGGTCGACTCTTGCGCGGGTAACGTGGTCGACTCTTGCGCGGGTAACGTGGTCGACTCTTGCGCGGGTAACGTGGTCGACTCTTGCGCGGGTAACGTGGTCGACTCTTGCGCGGGTAACGTGGTCGACTCTTGCGCGGGTAACGTGGTCGACTCTTGCGCGGGTAACGTGGTCGACTCTTGCGCGGGTAACGTGGTCGACTCTTGCGCGGGTAACGTGGTCGACTCTTGCGCGGGTAACGTGGTCGACTCTTGAGCGGGTAACGGTGGTCGACTCTTGCGGTAACGGTGGTCGACTCTGGCGCGGATAACGGTGGTGCGGTGACGTTCGTCACCGTAGTACTGGGCTTTTCTGCAGAAGTGGTGGGAAGGTCGATTCTCCTGGCCTGCACATTGCAGGTTTTGAATCAATTCTCTCGGTACCCTAATTCTGCTGCCTCGCACAAATTCCCGTCTGCACGTTGGAAACACGAGATGTCACTGATTGGAGCCCAGAAATGGGACATCCGCTAAAATTGGATCGATACAGAGAAGATTAGCATGGTCCCTGCGCAAGGATGACACGCATTAATCGAGAAAGTATCACCTTTTTTTTGCAGGGCGTTGGCGGTTCGAATTATTGGGCTGGGAGCATCACTCGAACTTAGCTTCACCGGCATTGCCCGAACTTAGCATAGCCCGAACTTTACTGTTCCCCGAACTTTAAACCAGTCTCGCCACGCGCCGGCCTTAGCCGAGCGCACGTACTTGCGCTTAAATTTCTGTGGGCCGACGGGCCAAAAAACCCCCTCCGTGAAGACCGGACCGCTTCGGCCGCCTGCCAGGACCACCAATGGAGCTTTCAGGTGGTCCAAGGGGTGGCAAGAATAGTCATTTCATCTGGCGGGGCGCGACCGCAGCCCCGCTGTATCAACATGGCTTGCACAGTGTCCCGCGACGGCCCGATGCAAGAGAATGAGATCTCCCCTGTTTTTTCCATGCACATCCACAAGACACCCTACTACACGAAGAAAGTGCAGCTTTCCAGGATAGTTAACCCTGTCCCCGCGTGAAGCGTTTCAAGGGTCAACCCTTCCTTCAAAAAGAGACGACTGCATCATCCGGGGCCTGTGGACATGGTCAACACTCCAAAAAAAAAAAACGTACAGAAAAAAGTTCCGCCACCGGGAATTGAACCCGGGTCTCCCGGGTGAGAGCCGGGTGTTCTAACCACTATACTATGGCGGATGTGTGTTGGAGGAAAAAAAAATTAGCCACGGGTTGTGCCAGATTTTTTTTGGAAATGGAACCGAATTCTCGGAACCGCATTCTCGGAACCGAATTCTCGGAACCGAATTCTCGGAACCGAATTCTCGGAACCGAATTCTCGGAACCGAATTCTCGGACCGAATTCTCGGAACCGAATTCTCGGAACCGAATTCTCGGAACCGAATTCTCGGAACCGAATTCTCGGAACCGAATTCTCGGAACCGAATTCTCGGAACCGAATTCTCGGAACCGAATTCTCGGAACCGAATTCTCGGAACCGAATTCTCGGAACCGAATTCTCGGAACCGAATTCTCGGAACCGAATTCTCGGAACCGAATTCTCGGAACCGAATTCTCGGAACCGAATTCTCGGAACCGAATTCTCGGAACCGAATTCTCGGAACCGAATTCTCGGAACCGATTTGTGCTCAGTTCAATCTTATTCGCGCGAGCGAATAAAAGCGAACGCGGGTCAAAACAACGAGATTCGCTTTTTGTCCGTGATGTGTGATGTGAAGTTGCCACGTAAGATAGTGTTCTAACGCACACAAATTGACAAGCATGTAGAATAAGGGGCCGAACCTCGCCCTTCATCAAAATACCACCGAGCAACACGAAACCACCCAGAAGAAAAGCCAGGCACCGGGATCTTCCTGACGAGCACGCGACCCGGTGAACATAATCAAGAGTCGAAGATTAGCGTCGAAACTTCCTGGCTTTTCACGCCGCAGCAGAACGACCACACCCTACCCAAACCCAAGCACCCTCTAAACGCGTTAGGGGACTTCACAAGGTTTCACAACGGAGTGACACAACACTCTTTTACTTTTCTCAACCCCCCGCCATACCCAAGCCTACCGGAGACTTTAAAATACCGACCTTCTAATCCACAAATAACGCTACAAAATACAAACCATTTCAGGCATTTGAGTATCTGGAACCGGAGGAGCATCACGAAGGCAACGAGGTTGAGCGAGCTGCTGTTAACTTGGTATGACTCCCTTTTCTTATTACTTCATAAACGTCGAAAATCCGCCAAACTACTGCACTAATTCCAGCAGCAATACGGTCGGAACTGAAAAGTCAGATATTTGATTTGCATCAGAGCCTGCCTCCCAACCTCTAAACTACAATAAACGCTGAAACGAGTCACTCTGCAAATCCCGATCAACGGTAAAAAAAATGGAAATCGTCTAAAAAAAAAAAAAAAAAACGCAGTTGACCGTCCAGCCGGATAGGCACCTCGAACCGCTCACGAAGTCTCAAATCAGCATTTTGCAAAAAGCTTCCGCGAATTTTTCTGAAGACCAGGTGTGCTCTGATTTTTGCCATTTGAATGGAATGGTTGACAAAGCCAACCGTCAATCGATATCTAAGCAGCAGTGTGCTCATAATTTTTATTTCTAGCTGACCGTGCTCGTTTTCGAACAGCACAAATAACGCTCAACTACAACATTCCCCGCAGATCACTGCTGTCGTTGAAGGCCTCACGCTTACGTACAAAGCAAGAGATACTTTTGCGACTGACGCCCTCCATCATGCACTGACACAACGCTGGCATCATTCCATTCGCCTCCCACTCTCAGAGGAACAGACCAAGGGGATTGTATGCGTTTAGTTTCAGCCGCCGTTGCCCTCAGCATTGCGTTCTTTTTAGTACACGAATGGATTACTGTTGCAAGTTCGTATGCATTTGGTGTTTCAGTTCACGGTGTACTGCACACCTGGATGTATCTCCCTTAACCCGACACTCAGCACGTTGCCCAATTGAAGGCGGTCATTCGCTTCTTCCTGCAGAAGAGGGACAACTGCGATTGGCTCGCAGTGAGGACCCCGCGAGCCTTCTTGGAGCCTCTGGGATCATTGGAGGACGGCATTGCAAGGGAGTACGATGGGTACCTGCAGGGTTCATCTCTGGCAGATGTAGGATCCGAGCTGGCCGGACTGTTCGAGATTCTAATGAGCATGCTTGAGAATCCGGAGTTCTTGGTCCCAGACGGGGAGCTGATGCCCTTCGTTGCAGCCGTGATGATGGGCGACGTGAACAGCGGCCTACTTCGCGTGTTTAAGACGGTTGGCATGTGTCACATCGTGGCCCTTGCCAGGTTCGTGAAGCAGCGTCTGAATGCGGCACGCAGTCGTATCTTGTCAAAAAGCTGGGCCGAAGAAGGTGCTCAGTTGGACGAGATCCCGTTCACGGTCTCAGGATACAACCCGATGGAGCCCGTGGATATCACGTTTGACGAGAAGTGCCGCATCGTTGCCGTGACGGGGCCTGTGGGGAGGCGCGCGGGGCTCGAAGCTGGCATGCGCGTTGTGGGGGTGGCAGGCCGGCGGGTGTCTGGCAAGGACGCTCTTTTGCAGGCGATGAGTGAAGAAATGTCACACAACGTCAAGGCACTCGAGCTCTCTGTAGCCACCAGCGACGCAACGCCACTGCTGTCCCAGCGGCCGAGCTCGGCTGCGAGCTCCGCCTTCTATGAAAACTCGAAGTTTGCTGAAGTTGGCGGCGCTGTTGCGCCGCCCGCATCTGTGTCCGTCTCGTCTCTCGACCACGCGCTGCCGATCCGCCGAACCTTCACCCGCACATCCACGATCGCCGCCCGGGAGACGGACGCGCTGAAGGCGAAGAAAGCGTCTTTGCTTGAAACCATCCAAACACTCGAGGCACAGCTGCGTGCCAAAGAGCGGCTGATGACGCTCAATCGGGAGCAGACGCGCCTTTATGAGGAACGAGCCGAGTTCCTGAGGAACGCTCTGCGCAGGCACGGCTGGTGAAGGAGCTGAGCCGTGCCCTCTGGACCTCTGCTTTCGATGACAGAGCTGTGCTGTGAACCGAAGCGCACTCTCTCTGTGAATTTTTACTTCTCTCTCTCACACACACACACACACACTCATGCGAACAGCGACACCTTTCGCGAGCTCGTCTTGCGAGCGTTGATCTCGTTGGGGACCCAGGCCCTTGCATCTTATGCTTGTCAAGGCCGTTGGAGGCTGCCCCACGTGCTTCGGTTGCCGGATGCTTCTTCTTGGGGGGAGGGGGTGAGATCACCCATCACTTTCCCCACTTGCCTGCATTTGTCGAATAGTGTACTCAATACAGTAGAGACAGACCGAGCGACTCTCCGCGGCGTGCGTTCTTTTTTTTCCTTCAACGAGTCCGGGATTCACACGCCCAAGCAACCAAACGTCAACCCCCAACTCCGTGATTCGTGATATTTCTGCGCGACGAAAGAGGCAATCAAATATAAAGCCACCCACAAAGAGCCGGGGGGGGGGGGGGGGAGAATTAGGGGGGTTCGAGGCAACCCAATCAGTCCCAAGGCCTGCTGGCAATCTTCTGCCTCAAGGAATCAAATTCCGCAGGATAGTCTCGCGACTCTGCCGCAACTGTAAGCTGAGACGAAGGACACCTCTTTAGGACAGCACAGTTGTGGCTGTGTGCAATGCGTGCACGTGAGAGTCCCGTATTTCTTCGACGAGCCATGTCGGTTAACTCCTTGCTAGCACGAGTCGAAAAAAGAAGGTGACTGGAAGAGGGCCTGACAGGTGACAACGGGCCACCATAATTCAATCGAAGAATTTCCGACGGCCAATTGCCGGGCCGCGGCACGTCCTTTCCAGGACCCCAGCAAAATCCACGAGTGCTGCTGACCGAAAGTAGCCCGCTGTTTCAGTGTACTCGTTTTGTCCTGCGCTGCTTCCGTTCTTTGCCCCTGCCTGCGACCCCGTGTCGCAAAATCTGTGCCCATCCGCCGTTCTTGCTCTTCTCGACTGACAGGCCACTCGCTCGGCTCTTGCTAGACTGCGGTACAACCCTCACCCGTAAGCAACACTTACACTCGTCTCACCTTTTCCTTGTTGCTCATTCCAGTTTCATCGTTCTTTGTTGTTGAGTTGGCGGCCGGTTCAGGATATTTCATTTTCCGAATGGAGGCCTTGATGCAGAAATGGGAAAGAGTTCGCTTGATGCCCGATGTCGTGAAACATTCGTTTACAGCAACACTTTCTCAAGTTTTTTGAAGGGTGTTTGTGGTACCGGCCCCATCTGTGCTGACATCAAAAGAGTGCGATTGGGGATGGGAAGGGTGGAAAATCTTGACCCTCTTACGAGGGAACAGAACAGAAAAAGAGTGCACTACTCTTTCTATACGGTAGTCAATTCGTGATGAGAAACTACATATATATGGTGTCACGGAATAAGCCGGCAGCCGCTGCTTAGCGGCCTTAAAAGTTCCCACCAGTCTTAACGGCCTAGTCCGTGAGAAAGTGCATGCTGATCCATGTGGTCAGCCGGCGAGCTCAAAGACGCGCCTCCCATGAGGGGGCGGAAGCGACCCCTGCAGGAGTCCTCGAAGCCCGCATCCCCGACAGGGAAGACACGAAGAACGAAGCGATCGCGGCAGGCCGCGAACACCACGACGCACGACCAGGAAATGGAATATCTGGCATCTTCCCCGCCACAGCCAAAACGGCCCGGAAAGACCGCACCGCGAAAGCGAGCGGGAATAGAACTCGACTTGGAAATGACCAGTTTGACCTCATCCTCATCATCGTTGACTCTCCCGACGGACGACGTCATAAAGTAACACTAGCCCGTGATCAGTGCTCGCCTGCCTTGATGGCACTTGCACTTGAAAGAACTCAATGCTTACAGGGGGGACTTTCTTGGATACAACTACCGCCGCTAAATACAACCTACTGTTTTTTTCCCCTAGTTTTTTCTCCTTGTTCCGTTGAATACTACTGTCTTGGAATAGTGCTGTTTCACTGGAGTTCTGCACTATTCTCGTTTCAGTGAAGCCTCTAAGATTGATTAGGGCTCGCTGTGAGTCGGCGTTTCCTCTTCGGACTGGATGCCGAGGGCGTGGGCCGGAGGAAGTTCGTCCAAACCTCTCCGGCGTCCTCCGACGGAAAGCTGGCCTCCGTCGGCACGAACCCAGCCTGGCCCAGGTGAGCCTGGATGGGGAGCCTCCCAG